TTGAAAACGCTGTAACTCCGTTAGTTTGACTCTAAAAGACTCAACAATTTTACACAATGTGCTCAACATATTGGTCTATCAGATAAAAATATTTAAAAAAATCTTACATATAAATAAGAGGTCGAAATTGCGCGGCGCGCGCAAAAAAAGTGATTTTATACCGAAAAATTCGACCACATTCGGTCGTTGAAAACGCTGTAACTCCGTAAGTTTGACTCTTAAAGACTCAACAATTTTACACAATGTGCTCAACATATTGGTCTATCAGATAAAAAAAATTTTTAAAAAATCTTACATATAAATAAGAGGTCGAAGTTGCGCGGCGCGCGCAAAAAAAGTGATTTTATACCGAAAAATTCGACCACATTCGGTCGTTGAAAACGCTTAACCGTTAGTTTGACTCTAAATTACTTAAAATTTTTACACAATGTTCTCAACATATTGGACTTTTAGAAAAAATATAAAAAAAAATATTTAAAAATTGCGAAATACAAATAGACGGGGAAATGGCGCGGGAAGCGCATTTAAAGTACTTGTTTACGCCAAAATTCCTCAAAACTCGGTCTATTAAAACGCTATAACTCCGTTAATTTGATTCTAAATGACTCAAAGTGTAGAATAAAATAAAGACTTACCATAAGCCTGTTTTTTTTTCATCGACGAATTTTATTTTCATCCATTGCAAAGATTAGATGATTGCTGCAATAAAAAAAAGTAATTTACATTTACACATGTCTACAACTCATACATACATATGTATATTAAGGCAAACTGGGATAGTTGATTGAAAATGTCTGCAACTTGTGTTTGTTTCAAGTGATTTAGTACAATATACAATTACATAGCCTTTTTTTTTTTTGGATATTGTGGTGATTTTGTTTGAATTTATTTTTAAAATTACTAAATGATATATAAAATACATATATAGAAAAAATCGAAAAATATACACAGCAAAATTTACCATCTATATTGTACAAATTATTTAATAAATTTGCTGTCCAAATTACTAAACTTATACATATATAAAATAGAGACCAATCAAAAAATTTATGTAAGAACACGTCGTGAACTTTGTTATTTTTTATTATTATCAAGAAGAAAAGAAAGCTTCGGCTCACCGAAGCTTATATCCCCTTGCAGTTATCAAATATGACGAACAAAATATGTACATAATATTTTTTTTTAATTTTCTATAATTCGACGATTGTTCTTATGACAGCTACATATATAATATAGTTGTCCGATTTTTATTAAATTTTATTCTCTATTCAAGGGTGGCTAAAAATCTCAATGTTCTAAAAATCATGCTCGTGGGATAAAAAAACAACGACATACAAACATACAAAACGTAAGAGAGGCTGCCAGAGAGCTGCTTCTCTTTTGCTCTTACAAATCGGCGACACCCTGTTGCACTTATGTATGAACATATGTGTTATATTTGAAAGACGCGTCGCGCGAATACGAGCTCACATGAATATGTTTCTATGTGTGTGGGGCGATCGAATTTAAATCTAATGCAACAGACAGGAACTTACTTGTAGGGTTTTTTCTTATTTAAAAAGCCAATTAACGGCGAATTCTTGCACATACACACGATGAGTCCTTAGTTATTAAGATTTTTATTTCCCGAAAACTAAAAAAAAAGGACGCCAGAGACGAACTGACGAACACCGCACACACATACACCCGCACCTGTATGTGTGGATTTTTTTACCGAACGGAATGCAACACGAATGTGTTGACACGAAGACCGACGACTTTCGACTGTTGCTTTGTCCCAAGGTAGTCTCGTCGGCTGCAAAATCGTTCGGGTTTTTCCCCCTATCGACCCGAACCCATAGGAAAACACTCTCTCTCTCGCTCTAATTGTAGTGTCGATAGGGGAAAAAAAAGCCGACGAGACTACCTTGTACTTATTATACCATGAGTACACGGTAGTCTCGTCGGCTTTTTTTCCCCCTATTTCGCATTTCAAAGAGTGCGAGTGAGGCGGTACAGTCAATACTGGAAAAGTAATAAACATAGGTTTGAACATGACAGGAAACTAGCTTCGCCTAGCTGAATCCTATAGACTTTGCCTAAGTCAATTGCACCGAAAAGAGTTTCTTAAATATATGCGTACAAATAAATAGAGTCCATTCCTAAGGTACACTTGAATTTGTAATTATGTATTAAAAATTCAAAATTGTACATTGCAATATCAGATTTTAATGTAGAAAGCTTCAGTAAAAATAAATTTAAATTAAATAATAATAATATGAATTCCTTTTAAGGGGTTCTTACTCCCAAAATTGTATAAACAATCAATATATGTACATAATTCAAAAATACCGCTTTTATAATTTTATAACATTGGTTGATGCACTCGCTAAAGTCGGATTGGTTACTTTTAATGCATTTTGGTTAACACCAATGCAGTGAACCGTGGTGAGAAAACTGGGAAAGCCTGAAATACCGATAAGTCTAGAGCTGCAAAAAAAACTGATGATGCGATATATCGATTAAAAAATGGATACTATCGTTTACGAGTCTAATGTTCTTTCAGCTCTAGTTTTTAAAAAAAATCGACGAAGTTTGAACGGAACGCACAGCAAGACGCTTTGCAGAAAAAATTTTTAAGAGGTCTCGACAAGTTAATTGCTTTGTGAAGTAGTTGAAAATTTTGCGAACTGTGCGCGTAAGGACAAAACCAAACCCAGAGGCGTGCTATTTTCGGCAATAAGTTGGAGCTAGATTGGTTGCCTGGAGAAGGAAGTGAAACAAAGGACAAGCAAAAAATCCGTGCTCTTGGCTGCTCCGCTCTGTTTCTCTCTTTCGCTGTTTGCCGCTTTGTATGCGAGGGTGAGTTTGTTGTGTGAGTGCGAGAATCTGCAAGAAAGCAACGCCAAAAAGCGAAGAGTCAAGAAATAAAACGCTGGGGCGTGTGAATCTGAATCACTAGCATAGCTGAATCACCTCTACAGCAATACCTGCTGCTGTTGACCGAGTAAATATTTGCTGACATATTTAAAAGGATGGAGCAACACGAGGACAACGCTCAGTTCGACTACTACTTGCAAAACCGCCTGACCGAGAGTCTGCAAATTACTGGGGGCGCCGGTGAGCATCACCTGCATATCGCAGACTCCGCCGGTGAGGAACTTTCTGCGACCTCCAAGTCGGAGCAACGGGACGCTGATGGGGACAAGGATGAGGATGAAGAGTGGAAGTACATTCACGAGGTACAGCAGAGCGAGAAGCTTCAAGAGCAGCATGAACCAACTCAGGAAGCTGGTAACGGTTTCAACCGGCCCTCTGAAGATCAAATCCTTGGACACGTTGCAGCCACTAGCCTTAGTCCGGTGTGTGAGAAGGAGAACGTGGAAGTGATTAAGAACGATTGCGATTTGTCTACGAATTCGTACACTACTATTTCCACCGGAGATGTGTTGGCCCAGGATCAATCGCAAGAGGCAGAGCAGATGGTGCGGCAGAATTTGCAATCCCAAAATCTTCACCAAGAGGATGAGGACGAGCCCAGCTCTGTGGCCACTACTTATGGTACCAGCAGTCTCAGCGATAATAATCCTACCCCGTTAGATCAGGACCAGGAGGAGGTCGTACTTTTTGGTCAGTCAGTTACCGAAAAGGTTGTCGATGTCTTTGAGAACAAGGAAAACCATGACCCCATTAAAGAACTGGAAGAAAACCATTCCCAGCTTAATCCAAATGCAGTGGCCTTTGTTCCCAGCTTCGGCTCGCAGCCTTCGTCACCTCTCCCTGATGAGGAGCCCCTGCTTGGTATGCATCCCCGTCAGCTGCTGGCTTGTGGCCCCATGGATGATTTGGTAGCAGAAAGTCCGCGCAAGGGTTCGGCGAAAGACAATATGGATTCAATTGCTGTGCCCGATGAGCGGGACTTTGACATTGAGGCCGACAAGCGACCCCATGAACTAGAGCAAGACTCGGACCTTTTTGGCGCAGGTACTTTAGAGATGCAGCTGCTAAACGGTTCGGGATCTTGTGACCCAGCTGCCGTGCACGATACCCTAGATCACGGTCCCGAAACCAGTGTCGATATGGACTTGTCACTAGATCAGCTGACCGTTAGTGGCGACATCATGAGGCAATCTATTTATGCCGAGCACAACGCCTCAATTGAAGACATCCTTAATTCGGTGCAACCTCTCCCTACTCAAACGGGTGATGAAAAAGAGCTACTCCATGTAGAAGAGAAAGAGCATGTCTCGCAGTCGCCCTCTACAGAGGAGCTTCAGTTTCAGCAGGAGTTCCAGCACGAGCGGCAATTCTTTCACAACGCTGATCAGAACCCCATGCAAGCTTCCTTTTATTTGGAGCATACGTCGAAGGAAGCGCAAAAGGACGGTCAGCTAGAATCGGAGCAGGATCCTGTTGGGTGTTCCAATAATTTTAGTGATCAGAGTTTGCTGTTGGACACCAGTGCACCACAATTTAGTCCCAAATCTGACTCTCCGGTCCCGAAGTTGGAGCAGGAATCCCTACTCGCTGACCAAAGGGACATCGCACCTTCTCCTTTTTCCTCTACTGAAGAGAAGCATCTGGTTGAGAATACCAAGGAACTGGATCAGAATCAGGAAGTGCAAGTCTTAGAGCCCTTTTCAGCCGGAGCTCCTCCACAGGTAATTAAAAAAGAAACGATTTTAATGAAGTGCTGAAATCCATAAATCCGTCATTGTTCACTCGCTAATTGCAGCCTTTTTATCGGGCTTTCATTAAAAACTTCCCAACTTAAATAAAAAATATTAAATTTATTGGTAAAGTGCATAAACTAATCTTCTAGATCATCAAATGAATATCAAAGACTTTTCAAAATTTTGTTTAATAAGAAAATATTTTGAATCATTTTTTTTTGCGATGTGGTTTCTTAGATTTCTTGTACTTTGATTTGCTCTCTCTCTTTGTTTGTTGCTTTCGGGTGGGGTCGTGTTTTTTTCCTGCTCGACTGTCACTAAATTTATACAGCACAAAGGATATAAAAATTATTGTTTAAAATGTCTTGTTGGGCGGGGCTACAGCGCTTGGTCGAATTTTTTTTTTACTTTGCTTTTATGTATACGCTAGAGTGGTCTCAATGAACAGTTTTTTTTTGTTCATTTTGAAACCCAAAAAAATATACATTTAAAATAGTCAAACAAATTTTATTATTTCAAATGAAAATTTTTTTTTTTGTGTAAATAAGATATTTGTTGCAGTTTTAATTATTTTAAGAATTTTTTTCTTACTGAAATTTTTAACAGTTGCGCTCAATGCATTCTTGTATGTACTCCAATAAAACATGGCTCTCTCTGTAACTTGTTCTCTTTTCCCCTGCAATCTGCATGACAAGCAGCAACAGCAGAAACAGAAATGGTGTTGCCGACTGCTGCAAGAGTTGGCAATCTTTTCGCTTCGCTGCAAATTCCAACTCCATTGCACACACTGGCTTACACACAGACACGCTTTCATAAATACAAAAAAAAAAAAAAAAAAAAAAGCTGCACCAATAATAAGATACCAAATGAATTTTAAAGAAGTTAAAATAGGTGAAAGATAAGAGTGAAGAGGACAAATTTGTGGTTGTTTTATTGGGTTGTAATTTTTCTATTTATCTCTTTTGACTGGATAATGTTGTTATTAAATTTATCTATTATTACTTTTTGCGGGAGTTAGTTTTGTGTTATATATGTATTTTAATATATGTACATAATATAAATATTTAACATTGTAGCACTTGTTGATACTTCTTTGATTTCATATTGATTATTAAAAGCCGTTTCTAAAGTCTCTAATCAGGAAAAAAAAGATTACACAAAACTTGTGTAAATGCGCAAATTAGTTCACGCGTTGAAATACTGCCTCAGCTTTGCTTTCAATTTAAAATCAAAACGAATAGTGGAATTGCAATATTTAGTACAGTTTGCAATGTTTTTTAAATCGCATTAAATACTTTAAAGCAGTATTTCTCCAACTGTGGGTCGCGACCCACTGGTGAGTCGCGGGTAAATTTTTGGTGGGTACTAATTGTCATATAGATCTTGCTATTTTTTGTGTAGATGTACTATATTACGTCTTCTTATCATCCGCAACATAAACTTGGTTTGCCACTTACTACGACTTTAAAGAAACATTTTTGTGACAGTAATATGCATAAACATTTTTATTTGGCTAATGGTAAGATATGGAGTATTTTAAAATTATTATATAGGAAGGTGATAATGTTTGCTTGGGATGAGCGGCTTTAGCTGGAACTACAAGGTCCTAAAAGTGCTCTAACTGGGTGCAGCTAAAATAGATTTAAAAGGCTTAAACTAATAGAAACATTTAGAATTAAAAAAAAATGTTTTTATCATCTCTAACAAAGCTTTTTGCTAAAAAGAATCCTAAAAGGGACATCTAATGTGAACTCCCCTTCTAAAATTAGACGGCTTTTCGAATACATATATTTTTAGGTGCATGTTGGTTGCGGTAATAGGAACTACAGATCAAAATAGAAACTAAAAGTCTACAGGTGTACCGTTTCAAAAATGTTATAATTCCGTAAAAGTTTTGCAGCCTACTCAAAAAAAATAAATAAAATTAATGAGTTTCAAATTTGTAATATAAAAACTTTTCCTCATAATCGCCCAAATGCAGTAGAATTACAAATTTGATTTTTATACACGCATTGTAAAGACGCAGTAGTGCGAACAACCAACACTTTTAGATACAACACTCACACTTCTTGAAGCATGGTCAGTGTATATTTTTAAATTGCACAAATCGTCTGCCAAGTGCCAAGTTCAATCGCTTTTGGTATAACTCGCGCGCAAAAAAAATATTGAAACAAATAAGAGACATTATATTGCTACATATTGTGAGGCTGTAGTTTGGCCCCTGCAGCGCTTGGAAAGACATGAGTACTGAAAGTTGGAAGGCATCGTTTGTAGGGAATGGCGTAAAAATAGAGTTAAGTTGTTGCTCATTGAAATGATGGCATATTGGCACCTTGTCGACGCTCAAAATATACCAAAAGATCAAAACCCAAGAACAAAGTTGTTGATTGGAAGATAAGCCAGACTGAACCAAAACAATCACCTCACCTGTCTGTATTCCCTCAAAAACAATTCGAAGGATTTTTCCATATACATATTTTATATTATACTTTAGTTATTTTTTTTGTACATTTGACCTTAACATGGGATTACGGTTCAAAAAAATTTTTAAGATGGAGACAGAAGAAAATGCGCGGTCCAGGCTAGTTCGAGTCCGCGATTCAACTATACCTATTTTTAAAGTCCGGGTTTCAAGATTTCTCAAGCAATACTTTGCCCGTATTGGTGACATTTTAGACAGGTCTTTCGGGAACTTTTTTTTGGTAATTTAGAGCCGAATGTCTCTTGATAATTTGCTCATTCTGTTTATCAAAAAACCAAGAGATGATTAAGTTAAATTAAATTTTTTAGTTACTTTTTTCTTTGTAAATAATATTATTAGAAAATTGAATAAACTGAACAGTAAAATTTGTCTTTACTTTTTTTCAATTTACCCCTTTTTTGTCTTGGATTCAAAGGCAAAAAGCAGCCAGAAAGCCTTTCGCATAGCCTTGAATTTTGTCCAGAGCTCCGGAACAATGGTAAAAAACTCATCGAATATAAGACGTTGCAGCGAGCGTTGCTCTTGTCTGTTTTGCTGTAATCTATTCGCCTGCTCGTTTACCATTACCATTACCAACAAATGTTCGTGTGCTGGCCAACAAACTTGGCCAGGTGTTCTCTTTTTTTTTGGCCTATGAAAACATTGCATTCTACCGTTTTAAGTGTTAATGGGGGCTTTTTCTTTAGAGTCTTTTTGGTTTATGGTTGGATTTTAGGTCCAAGTTGGCCAAGAAAGGCAGTCAATTTCATGGCTACGGCTCCATTCTAATGTATTTATTCAACTGCAGTGCGGTGGTCGGCTGTCGTTACCTACTACTTATAGCAATTGTTTTTTTTTTATTCTCGCGCTACGGGTTTACTTTCACAAAAGGAAGCGTAAATCAAATGAAATATTGGTAGGCCCGGCTGATAATTTCTTTTCATCTTGGAGAGTTTACCAAAGTGTATATGCGTTTGTCTTCTACATATTTATAAAATGACCATATACTCGAAAGCCTTTAAAAAAAGATACATGGATAAGATAAATGGAATTTAGTTTTGCTTAAAAAAACTTTGAAAATAATAGAGTAGCTGACTGAAATGCAGTTTTATTTACTTTATTACAGAACATTATTAAGAATAATATTGATAGTATGATCTGCAAAATACCTGGTGTTTGCTGCTGTTTTAACTGACATGCCATGTTTCCCCCTATTATCCGCGTTCCCTCCAAATGAATTAAAGCTCCCTCCTTTGGTTTACTTCTTTCTTCAACTGATTTCTGGTCTGGCGGGCGAAAATACTGCCACGGCCTTTTCCGGTTTTCCTACGCTGTCTAGTTCTTCTTGTTTTTCTCTCTGGTTTATATTTATGCCACCGCCCTAATCCAAGGTGCGCTGATTATCGAAATTTCGTTTAAGAACCCGATGAAAATACGGGTCCACGTCCATTTTTTTCAAAACCAACTATGTATTTAAACATTGTTTCGGTGTTGACTAATCTTTTGATAGTTACAGTCTAAAAAATTCTTTTGTACTTGCATGTTTGGTATCTCGACTCTTACTGTCTGCTCCTAAAATAATTTTACCACTTATTACTCATCATCAGCTTTGCCAAGACCGTGCACAACGCATTTTGTAGTTTAGTTAAAAGTTTTATAAATTCTGCACTGATAAATAAAAATTTAATATAAAACAAAACACTGACATTTCTCTTTGGTCTTAAATACATAATGAAAGCGGCTTACCAAAGCTATCTTTTCTTTTTTTGTTTTTGAGTTTTTCTACGATTTGTCAAAATTTTGCGGTACGTTAAAAATAGAAATTACACAGCCAGACGGCAGCTCAGTGAGCAACAAGCACTCGTCACTACATCCACATAAATAAAATTTCACATATGTACATGTCCGCATGTCTATTATGAATGCGAGAGGCCATTTTCGCTTTATTTGGAATTGAATTGTGCCCCATTCGCACTCCCTGGCCTCCCGTTTTCAGATAAGTCGGGACCGAGGTATAATATTAGTTTCTCAATACCCGGTTATTTTTTGCCATTTGCATCCCGATTTTGGGCGCTTGGTTGTTTACGATATATTTCTACCTTCCTTAGTGACGTCATTCTCCAACATAACGTTTGTCTTTTACTCGTTGTATTCCATACATATGTACATCAGAGACCATACGTTCATCTTAATTGTTAATGTTTGCACGAATGCGAGTTAAATAGCAAGAGTGCGTCATCCGTTTAACTCTTATTCCAACTCGTTTGCCTGGCGTATATTCTCACTATTCAAACTCTCTAAAAATGTTGACGTCAACTTTCGTGCAATTTCTTTATTTCTTATTCGCTTCAGTTCACTTTTAACCCCATTACGCTTGGGCAACAGTCTAAGCCAAGAGTTCGCAGTGAAGGCAAAAACTATGGGAAGTGCACTACGGGAAATATTAATACTTTCTTTACGCTTGTACTTTTTTATTTAAATTATGGGCATACTAATTAATAATAAAAAACAATTAATCAACTTAGTGATCGTCCTTTCCCCTTGAATATTGCTCTGCGCCTATTAAAAACACTAAATTTATTTATACATTATTGTTTCATAAAATCATTACAAACTTTATTCCGAGTGCACTAAAAGAAAGTTGCCGGTCAGATATTAAGCGAGTGGGCTAAAACTGGGCAACTAGCAACAAGGAATTGGTAAATCGAAGGGGAAACTGGGAGAGTGTAGCTGGGAACGAGCGCCGACGGCTGGCAAATAGCCCCCGCTGGTGGCATTTACTGGTCAATGACATTTTAGAGTTTTAGTGGTGGTCTTTGCGTGATAGAGGAAAAGTGCCGGGAAAAATGTTAACGCTACACTCACTTTTTTTACATTTCCTTGCCTCTCCCAATTCCCCTGACACTTGTGGTAGAATTGCTAAAACTAACGCCAAGTCACTGAAACCTTTTGTGCCGGGCAGCTATATTTTTTTCTCTTTTCCACCTGTGTTATGACTGTTAACAACCGTTATTCGTTGAGTAAATTAAGCATGTATTCCCGTTTTCCAGGCAGCTGTGAACTCGGGATTTGAAAATTTGGCTAAGCCTAGTTCCGCAGTTAAAACATTATAAACGTTACTGGTAGTAACATGGAATATAGGGTTTTCTAATGACTCTCGAATTTCGAATTAAATTGCATAAAAACTAAAAACGACTAAAGCATATATCAAACATATCTTCGATGTTTGTTTCTATGTTTGTTTGACATATCAATGACGATTATATAAGCATCGTCTCGCTGAAGCTACCTTCCTTTCTTGTTCGATCTATCTCATGGCAGCTTTATGATAGAGTTACCCTTGCAGTCATCAAATATGTCGAACAAAATACATAAAGGCTAAACAACATCGAAGCTATGACGATTTTTGTATTAATTTTCCATATTTTCGACTATTGTTCATATGACAGCCATATGATTTAGTCGTCCGATTTTGATGAAATTTAATTTAATATTCAAGAATCATTAGAAAACTCTATATTCCAAATATCATGATTGTCTGATGAAAAACAACGATGTTATCATTTTATTTTCGTTATTTCTATATAGATTTTTCGATCTTTTTTATGGCTATATGATATAGTAGTTCGATTTTTATGAAATTTTTTTCTCGGTTCAAGGGTAGTTAAAAAAGTCGTTGTTGCAAAAATAATGCTCGTGAAATAAAAAACAACGACGTTATAATTTTTTTCCGTTATTTATATATATAAATTTCGATCTTTCCTATGGCAGCTATATGATAGAGTTATACGATTTCGATAAAATTATAACGTCGTTGATCCCACGAGCATGATTTTCAAAATATGGAGTTATTGAATAAGCCTTGTATCGAGAATAAAATTTCATTAAAATCTGACACCGTTACTATATGATAACTGGAAAGATCGAAAAATCGGTATAGAAATAACGAAAATAATATTATAACATCGTTCCTTTTCTTCAGACAAGCATGATTTTTTGAATATATAGTTTTCTAGCGACTCTTGAACATAATCGGACGACTATATCCATGGAAAATTGATAGAAAAGTCGTCTTAACTTCGTCTTGCCAAAGCTATGTAGCTTCCTTTCTTGTTTTTATATATATTTAGTTATTTGAAAGTACATAGAGGGAGACGACTTCATGGTACATAGGTTTTCGATTAGGATAGTAAGTAGTCTGTTGAAAAAGGGATTAAATGTTTAGAGTGGTATCAGGTTTCTTCAAACATTTAAAATGGTTGAATATTTTGTGATGAATTTTTGTGTTGTTATATTTTTTAGATGGAAGAGTACGCTGCCATTAATGCAGTTCCCGACTCTGTCGCTTGCATCAATGTCGAAGTATCGACAGCGCCCAATGGAGTTAATCCTTTTGCTCAGCCTTTCACACCTGGACACTTGGCGGAGGAGCACTTAAAGGAAGAGTTGGATCACCGTCATCCAGATCAACTAGTCGCAAACCTTAATGAACCCGAACTGCTGGAGAATCTAGTAGAGGAGAACTGTATGGGCAAGTCTGACTTTGCTTCAAAAAGCTTTGAAGATAAGTGTATCGATAATATGGAACAAGAGCTGCTTGCTAAGGGAGACTTCCTTACGGAGGAGCAAAAGAATAACTCTCAAGGAGAACAACTACTGCACGCTGTTGAAGACCGTGTTTTTCAGGAAGATCAGCTTGCCACTGTTGAGGAGAACATTGTTGAGGACATTGTTCCAATAAAAGAAGAGCAAAATGCTTTAGAGAAGCTAGAGGTGTCTGCTGATTTAGAGCAGCAGGAACTATCTTCTGCCCTAGAGGAGAAAGTATCGCCTGATGTTCTTGAAAATGTGTTGTTATCTTCAGCTTCAGATAAACAGAATCTTGGCGTGGTAGAAGAAACAGTGCTGTCAAGTACTGAGCCCTTGGTGGAAGGTATTTCAACAACGAAAAAGGAAGAGGACGTTTCGTCAACTTTGGCTGAAGTAGCGGCTGTTGCTGCAGCTGGTGTTGCAGTTGCCGGTGCGATCAAATCTAAATCCATTGCGAAGTCAAAACTAGTAGGTGCTCCCTCTGCAGTCAAGAAGCCCACAACCAGCTCCACCACGACTTCAGTTGCCGCAGCAACAAAGGCAGCCGTTGCTCGTCCACGCACCGCTCCTGTTGCAACGAAGTCTTCAAGTACAACTCTCAAGTCTTCGTCTGCAGCTCCACCAACAGCAACCACTCGAAAACCATTAAATAGCAATGCAGCATCGACATTGAAACCAGCACCCAAGTTAAGTTGCACAAGGCCTTCCACAGCTCCCGCGGGAAAGGTAGCACCGGTAGCCAAGACCTTAGCCAATAAATCCAATGTAAATGGAACTGCATCGGGATCTGGATCTGGAATCGGAACAGTTCGGAATACCACAGCTCGCAAACCAGCCGCAAGTGGTATAGGATTGGGGACTGGAGCAGGTTCAACAGTTCGCAGACCAGCTACAAATTCATCTGGAACAGGATCGACTCTTAATAGCGCTGCTCCAACTAAACCTCGCCTAGGACCCGCTACGACAACCCTAACCAAGCCCAAACCATTATCGCCCCGCAGCACTACTTCCACTACTAGCTCTGTGCGTAAGGTGCCTAGCGCACCTTCTACTTCTCTGTCAATTCGCAGCCCTTCCAAGCCAGCTACCAATACATTGGGAAAAAGCACCATCTCGACCACCAACGTCACAACAACCACAAAAACTTTTACTGCTCGTCCTGCTCCAAAGTTTACCCACTCGTCCAATGTATCCAATAGCAATGGAAGTTCAACTCGACGATTGCTTGTTCCTAGTAGCTCCAATACGACATCGGCGGCTCCACGAAAGTCTTCCCCTTCTAAGGCATCACCGGTCAAAGCTGCCTCTAAACCGCTAACTCCAAAACCCAAAGAAAATGGAACATCCAAACCATCGCCAGTTGGATTTAAATCTCGTAAGTCAACACCTTTACAGAGAGGCACTCCAGCTAAGGCACCAGGAATGGGACAACCAAATGAAACTTCTTTAACCGCCAATGCTGGCATAAATGCAGAGGATGGTGTCAACCAAAACGGAAGCGACTTGCACGACTTGGTGGGTGCGAACCCTGTTCCAGAACAACCGGTTAATGAACAAATTGTCGCTTCCCAAAAAGCAGAAGAGTCGCTACTGGACTTTTAAATTGCATCCCAGATCCGAGATCAAAGAGCTGAAACTACTTTACTAATATTATAAAAACATATTAAGCAAAAGAATTTAGTGTGAACGAAAAATCCTTAAATCGAGTTGCGATCAAATGAAGAAAAAAAAAAAATACAGAAGACATTCGAAAACGTTTTGCCTACGAAATTAAAAAATGGCTGCTTATTAAACTTAATTATATTTGATTTCATATTTGGTTTTTTGCGAAGTATTAACTATAAATACATAAATGTTTTGTTAACGTGGGCCAGAACAAAAAAAAAATGTTCGTGCTATTTTGTGAAGAAACCGAAAGATGAGTATAATTGCGTGCTTCGTTTCATTGATGTTTAATTTATTATTTGTTCCTTACACTCTGTTATTTTATCTAATGTGCTAAAAGTAAACTGTATTTTGCTTTTGTCAACTCTTCGGTTTTAACAAATGTAACTAAGAAACGCAAAAAACCAATGAAAATAATTTTATAAATTTTAAAAATGTTAGGAAGCTCGAAAAAGAAAATAAATGAGAATCAAAGTTTAATTGTTGCTTTTAGTTAGCGTACTATCACGTTAATAACGAAACTTTACGAACGAATCAAAACTAATCCAACAGAAAGCAATGGTTTTTGCGCAGCTGAAATTTTAGATTGCTAATCAGTTAAAGAGAGTTCGAATCTATTATTGATCAAGACCTACTGTAACTTTCCCTTCCCAGAAATGAAAAAAAACGTTTTACACGTTTTTTCATGATTTTTTATTGAAAGCTGAAAACGGACCTTATCAAACCAATAACAAGAACGTAGTAGTGATTAAGCAGCACTTAAATCATTTTTATTTTTAGTTTTATCGAAGCAAACTTTCATCCAGTGTTTACCTCTAACATAAAGAAACACTTTAACTTTTGTATCAATCCCATTAAGAAATTCGTTATGCTCCTAGGTTTTGTGACCAAGGTCAAAGTGTATTATTATTTTATAATTTGTTGATCAAACCCCTTGAAAAACGAAACAAGTATAACATTGAATGTAACTACTGCACCTTTATATACTCTTTCTATTCATCATATGTATGTTTAAAACGATATTTTTAATTAAAAGAAACGAACAAAAATTCTTTAGAAAGATACAAAAACGTATTATTTGTTTTATTTTTGGTTCTTTTTGTTTTTAGTGTTTATATTGATTTGAATGGTTTTTATATACGAAAGGAATGATTCCAAAGCTTCAACGACTCGAATTTATGGTACGATAGACCAATTTTGCCTCCTTTTGTGAAAGTAAATCCAAGAAAGACATTTTATGGAGACTAAGTTGGTAGAAGTAAAAGTTTGCCTACACTTAAATAAAATATACATACATTAGATAGACCCGAACGAAAAAAGGGTATTATTGATCTAGGTGTCTAGTTTACAGCAACAGTGCCCTTTTCTTTAATTTGCCTTATTATTAGCGATTTTTGAACAACGCTATATTATAATAATTATATTCAACCTACTTAAAAATGTAGTGAAAAGCAACATAAGACAGATAGACATAGTCATAGCCAAAAACCAATTTCAGCAGCAGCCTCCTAAAAATCATATTAAGGCAAAAATTAAGCAAAAAAATCAAAGCCGCAATTAGTTCGGTTATAAATCCACACGATCCCAATTCACTTTAACTTTATAAACAGACTGATAGAGAGAATTAAAAATTAACACTGCCCTCGGGCCTGTGAAAAAATCAAGGACCGTGCCTAAAAAACTGGCTAAAACGAATTTTTTGTCGCACTTATAAAATCTTTTTATATACGTTTACAAATTAATGAATACATGCATGAAACAAGTGAAGAAAAAACAAATACTAAAAAAGAAACCAAACAGTAAACTAAATGACACAAGGAAAAAATATTTAGATATATCTTTAACCTCATATATCAAACAACAAGATCATATTTGCGTAGTAACAACAAACATAATAAAAATAAATTATATGATACTGCAAAATTGGATAACGAATAAATGTTGAATATACACCAAAATATCTAGCGAAGTTGAAATTCTTTAGTTTTCGATTTCAGCCCCAGACAAAGGAACGACGATGAAGGAAGTAAACTTCAGAAAGTCGAAGTACCTTTTTAACTGCAATGCATTTAAAATTCTGTATTTAAATTTTATTTAAATTATAACATCATGATTACGTTATTAATTTTACATTAAAACAAGAAATGAAGCTAGCTTCGGCAAGCCGAATCTTATAAATCCTTGCAGTCAACAAATATGTCGAACAAAATACATAAAAGCTAAACAACATAGGAGCTATGTCGTTTTTTGTATTAAGTTTCTATATTTTCAACGATTGTTCATATAACAACTTGTATATGATATACTCGTCCGATTTTTATGAAATTTAATTAAAAATTCAACTATATTTTAAAAAGTTATGTTTGTCTGATGAAAAACAACGATGTTATTTTTCCTGTTAATTGTATATAGATTTTTTGATCTTTCCTATGGCAGCTATATGATATAGTTATCCAATTTTTATAAAATGTAATTCAAAATCCGATAGTAGTTAAAAACATGATCTAAAAAAAATAATCAAGTCGATCAAAAACCACGGCGTGATAATTTTTTTTCGACCTCTCGTATGGGAGCTGTCCGATATAGTCGCCCGATCCGGCCCGTTCCCACTTATATTCTGCGTACAGTAGCTACACAACTTTTGGTAAAGTTTCAGCATGATAGCTGATGCCGCCGGTCATGGTACCCCTGTCCTAAAAGATTTTCCATGTTTTCGACGGTTTCCCGAAAGGATTAAAAACAGCTCTCTTAAGAACCAATAACTTTATCAATTTTTTCAGATGTTCCCATTGCAGCAACATGATATAATACATCGCGGCCGTTCTGATATATACACTACCTGCGACGCTTCAATATTGTGGTTAAGTAGATCGACTCAAATATGGTAATGCTGATTAAGTATTTGTATATACGAGTATAATTATTATATTATATTAACCACCTGCAAGGGTATAAAATTGTAATGCATGGGTATTGGGCAAAATCTTAAGTTATGAATATAATAAGATATAAAAGTCTAGAAAATAAAAATTGCAGTTCTTAGTTAAATTTTGTGGCTCTTTTATTTTTTGAAAGAGATGTTGTTTATAAAAGCCAAAATCGTGTAAAAGAAAGCTTGAATTTCTCCGCTTCAGATTTGTAGGGGTTTTTCTAACAACTAAATCCATTGCATAAGGTGGCATGGAATCAAACGTATTGTGGCCGAATTATGGAACAACACAACTTAAAACTAACCATTTTAGGTGTCGAAAATTCAAAACTTCGCCCTCTTGACAAACGGTTTGCTACCATTTTCCTGTGCCGGACGCTTGTTAAAAGGTTTTTTGCCAAAATTTTTGTTTCCGTTTTTCTGGAACTTGGCGGGAGGATGGGCATGGCCGATTGCGGCACGTTTCCTTATTAATCTATGCTTCAAGAGAGAATTGGGCTCGATAAAAATTGGGTGGTTATTCACAATGCGTTCATTAGCCAAGAATGATTTGCAGAAACCATCGTCATTTGTGAATTTTACTACAGCTTTGACGCCCAACATCTGGATGCTTTCAATTTCCCCACTCTCGTTAAACACTTCACGCAGATCGTCTTCAGTGGTATCTACAATAAGAATAATGGTTGTAATAACTCTTTAGTGAATAAACGATAAAAAGCAACCGACCTGAGGTTAAATTTGTCACTAAAATGCTCCTTGCCCCGGAGCTTCGCTCGAAGCGCTGGAGCTTCAGCTCCAGATTGTTTATAGTCTTGCCCTGAAGTTGGGTCAAAGCCTTTGACGCTGCCTCTGCCTGCTTAAAGGTAACAAAGGCCAGGACTGTCTTGCTGCACACAACGTCCACAAAATCCACTTCTCCGAACTTTTTGAATATCTTTTCCAATGCATCGCAATTAAAGGACTCGTGTTTTCCCAAATTTTCGATGACCAGGGTATTTTCGATGGACTTCGGCTTGTCAGTCTTGACCTTCACCTCTCGCACAGTGATGAAGCGAGAAAAAAGCTCGGTGCTGTGTAGTGAAAGAGCCTTTGGGACGTCATCAACCGACAGCAATCGTACAAATGCTTTGGGGTTTGTGCGGTTAGCAGACAAGGTGACTGACTCCACGGGAGCTACCTTTTCAAAAACTGCCTTCAATTCTTCTTTGGTAACTTTGGGTCCAATCAAGCCTACCACCACCGTACGCTCGTTAAAAGATTCCTTGTCTCTAGGCTGGGATACGGACAAAACATTTTCTCCAAGAGTCAGCGCCTTTGGTTTGGCCTGTAGAGCGGCTTCGGCGGCAGCTGGCGTTTCGAAGGCTATTATAGCTGAATTGACGCCATACTTGTTCGTTATACGGTGCAGCGCGGAGATGGGTCCAAACTTGGCGAACAAGGCGACCACATCCTTATGTTTATATTCTGTAAAACATAATTAGGAAACCTGTTACTATCGTTTCTGGAACTGTAATAAAATATTACTGTACCGTTCGGTAGGTTTGTGACAAAGATGGTCTGATTCTTGGGCGTTCCTGGGGGAACCTTGCCAACGCGTATTTTCGGAATTCCACCTTTTTTACCGGACTCAACGTTAACTTTTCCTTGTTTCTCAGATTCCTTTCCCTTTTTGGAAACGGGCTGCTCAATAGGTGCCTCATCATCATCGTCAGAGTCTTCTTCTTCCTCGGCGGCTTGCCTGTTGGAAACCTCCCCAGGCTCCACCTCATCTTCATCGGCGTCCTCTTCGCCACTATCGTCCTCCTCAGCCTCGTCATCGATAAAATCTGCAGCTCCTTCCTCCTGAAATGGGATTAAATTGGTTTTCTATATCTATGAATCCACTAGATGGTCTGCCTGAAGGAACTAAAAAGGCTTGATATACGAAAAGAAGAAAATGCACAATGGACGGTTACCTTCCAGCAGCAAAACCAGCGGTAACTGGATAAAGGAAACCACGTTTTTCTGCTACCTACCTCGGAATCGCTGTCCTCCTCCGCTTGGTCGCTGTTCTGGTTTTCGGCGTCCGACTCCTCCTCGCTAGACGTCGGCACCTCCTTTACAGGTTGCTTCTTGGTCTTCTTTGAGGGCGACTGAGCGACCACGCTCTCTTCCTCCTCCACCTGCACCTTCTGCGGTTTAGCCCCGCGCTTGGTCACTTGTTTCTCGACTCCATTCGCGGCTTTCTTGCCCTTGGCGGCTACGACTTTCTTTTGGGCCATATTAGCAATTTCTCAAGAATAACCGTTTCAAATTGAACAAATAAATGTACAGGCTGGGTAACGCGTGCTTTTTCTCGAATTGCACGTGGAAAGACGGAGCGGGCGGTGTGGCCTAGAGATGGAAGAAATCGTCGCGATACTTTCGATACTCTGGAAATGTGGCCACACTGTCGTTTTCCTTATTTAGCATAAATAGCAACCGGAAACAAGAGGCCCTAACGCGTGTGAAACGCACTAGAGACAATTTTTTAATACTAAACGTGACTCGGTATTTTCAGTGACGGAATAAGTATACACATAAAAATTAAATTGCAGCACAGTACCCACCCCGCGACTGCAACGCACATTTATATTTGTTAATAAAAGTACTGAGAGCCGAGAAACCAGGATCGGTGTGTGCGCGGAAACCATTTAGCAGGGACACCAGCGAAGCAGAAGAACAGCCCACTACTGCCAATGAACACACTGAGCCCCAGCACGAACGGAGGCGGGAGTGGGGGAGGAGTCCCCGGGACCAACAGCTCCGGCACAAATGCGACAGCTGTCGGTAGCTCAGGAGGTGGAGCGGTTGGCGACGAGGCTGGCGATGCTAGCTCACGGCGCCAGGCGACGCGGGTCTTTAAAAAGAGCTCCTCCAACGGAAAGATCACCGTATATCTTGGCAAACGGGACTTCGTGGATCATGTCACACATGTGGATCCCATCGACGGAGTTGTATTTATCGACCCCGAATACGTTAAGGAGCGCAAGGTGTTTGGCCAGGTGTTGGCCGCCTTTCGATACGGACGCGAGGATCTAGATGTCCTGGGACTGACGTTTCGCAAGGACCTGTATCTGGCGCATGAGCAGATCTACCCTCCCATGCAGCTGGAGCGTCCAATGACTCGACTGCAGGAGCGGCTGATCAAAAAACTGGGACCCAATGCTCATCCATTTTACTTTGAGGTGCCGCCCTATTGCCCTGCCTCCGTGTCCTTGCAGCCAGCTCCCGGAGATGTAGGCAAGTCCTGCGGAGTGGATTACGAGCTAAAGGCCTTTGTGGGTGAGTCCGGGTCTCGTCTTTGTGGGTGTGTCCATGCCCGGCGGTCAGGCAAAGTCAAAATCATTGATCAGCGACTGCATCAGTCGATCCACCCATGCAGTGAACGTACTTTACGCGCATTTTACAGTAGAGTCCAAAAAGATAGAATCCAAAAAATTTAACATTTAACCGACCGGTTTATTGTTAAATTTGTAATTTTAAGTTGTTGATATGGCTACATTTAGGCAATATAATGTTGTTTGCTTATAGCTAATAGACACATGGAAGTGTTCGGTATATTGGGTATATGTGTATCTGTAATCAAGCGCATGTGTCACGCGGTCGGGAACGCGGGGTTAATTAATCCAGCTACTCCGACATCGCAAAAATGTCATTGGGCTTGGTGACGCAGGGTCTTACCTAATTGAAATTCGAAGCTTCTAATTGGAATTCGACTCGACCGTAGTTGTATCTCAGCTATTGTTGCTTTTTGTTTTAATTAGGCCCAGACTTGCTGACGTTTGGTCGCCCAGATCAAAATGCTGAAATTCTTTATTAGGTTGCTATTTTCTTCTGACTGAGGCCGAAAAGCTGTGTTGTTGGTCTATTCAATTCCTTTACCATATTATTTAAAAATGGAAATATTTCGTGGTGATCTGTACAAAGTTATTTGCACACTCTTGGAAATCGAACGCTGAGTTTTAATCATTCAACCTTTGCCATTCTTCGGTTTGAAAGACTGGATGCAGAATCACCTATACCAAAAGTAACAATATGTTTATTTTATATAAAAACTTTAACGAACCATATTATATTGTTCGGCAAATGTCTACGTGCATTGAAAAGAAACAAAAGCAAGAAAACGGTCGGAAATTTTTTATAGTTCGCAGAAACGATTTCTTAGCGCCTTCTGTGCTCTCGTTTTCCCCGTGATAATTTGTTCGGAGAGTTTATTTACTTGGCGTCTGTTGATTTGTTTATTTATTGAGGGTCGTTTCCATGCTTTTGGCGTTTAGAATTAAACTTTGGACCATATATTGCGGTTTATGATCTTGCACATATAAAATCCTTTTGTGTTAATACCAGCCCAATCATTATTTGGCATTTCGCTTAGTGGAAAAACGATCCGAACACAGCCTTTAGCCATGCATTATAGGATTATTACAATAGCCATATAGCAATGCCTTAACTTATAGTCTTTTTTCTTGATAGGTGAAAACGTTGAGGACAAGCCCCACAAGCGAAACTCTGTACGTCTAACCATTCGCAAGGTTATGTACGCTCCCTCTAAAGCTGGGGAGCAGCCATCGATCGAAGTCAGTAAGGAGTTTATGATGAAGCCGAACAAAATCCATCTGGAAGCTAGTTTGGACAAAGAACTGTACCACCACGGCGAGAAAATTTCGGTAAACGTCCATGTGGCTAATAACTCAAATCGCACGGTCAAGAAGATCAAGGTCTGTGTGCGGCAGTTTGCGGATATTTGTCTGTTCTCAACGGCCCAATACAAGTCTGTGGTTGCGGAGATCGAGTCGGAGGACGGGTGCCAAGTGGCGCCGGGATTTACCCTGTCGAAGGTGTTCGAGTTGTGCCCCCTTCTGGCGAATAATAAGGATAAATGGGGTTTGGCTTTGGATGGGCAGCTCAAACATGAGGATACCAATTTAGCGTCTAGCACACTTATTACCAATCCTGCCCAGCGAGAAAGTCTTGGCATTATGGTTCACTATAAAGTTAAAGTAAAATTGCTGATAAGCTCGCCGCTGTTGAACGGTGATCTTGTGGCAGAGCTGCCGTTTACGCTAATGCACCCCAAACCTGAGGAGGAGGAGCATCCACTGTTGGGCGAGCGGTCGCCGCGGGCTAGCTTGGCTGGCGGTGGTCAACCGCTTGTAAGCTTGGCTGATGGCGGAGATACAGGATCCGCCACTGGGGGTCAAGACGTTCCGACCACCACTAATCTTATCGAGCTAGACGACGACGAGGCTCAGGATGATGACATCATTTTTGAGGATTTTGCCCGCCTGCGTCTAAAAGGCGCTGAGACAGAAGCCTAAACTAAAAAGAAACCGTTGTTTTTGGATCGAAATTTTGAATGTCCATGTGCAGGTAACAATCTGCATTTGTATTATATGAAATCATAGAAAGTATTCTGCGCAGCCGCTAAATGTAAAGTTTTATACCAATATCCACGGTAAATAGTTTGGACTAAGCTATTTGATATGTGTAGGCCATACATTCTAGTATCTATAGGGTTTAAGCTGAAAATGTGCGAATTTTAAAATTGTGAAATTGTTTAACAAATCAAAAAATCAAATCTCCACAGAACACACATGTACAAGCAAACTATTTGCGACATGAAGTTTGGCCACATCTGCAACAGTTTAAAGAATGCAAAACAATTTAATTTATTTAAATTAAAAATTAAAATGCACAAATTTATGTCATAAATAGCACAACAAAATCTTTGGTTGATGATATATTCAATATTTTGAAAGCTTTAATTGCAACCAATTTTAGTTTTTGTGTTTTTTGCTTTCGATATGTTTTGTTGATTACAACGGGATAATAAACAAAATACCCGATACAACATATATAGAGTAATTGATGTATTTAAAAATATTAGAAGGAAACAACAACTATTTTGTTATTAACGGCAACCGTTCCTGTATAATTTTTAAAAAGACTTTCTCTTTATGTAAAGAATTGAAAGTGAAAAATTGGTGTCACAGACACGCAGGCCACTAAGTTCTTCGAAATGTTTTACGGAATTATGCATTTTACATTTAAAAGTGATCATTCTTATAATTATATACCCACCCAATAAAAAACCAAAATAAAACAGCCAGAAAAGAAGCGCATGCTTTACATACCTTTGCAAATTTATGAACATACTACTTTCGTCATAGGCTTACTGTATGGTACTCTTCGAATTAGCTTATATGTAAAAGTCTTCAGTTTAGTAATTACGATAAAAAAAAAGGATTGTCGATTTGTATATTAAGTTTCCGCTTCTGGAGGAATTTATAATATAGGCTGCAAGGGTATACAAGCTGAAATGGGCACCCTTTACATACTTAGTCCGATAGTATAATTATGGGGTATTCTTTGAACTGTTGTATTTTGATAAGCCTAGCTTTGACTTTAACAATCCATTTGAATGATTTATTGTACTAACGAATTAAAACGAAAAATATTAGTTTTTAGAATCAAAGTTACAAAAATGCTTTGGTCTTACTACGGTTGCCTTCAAAGCCTAGGCGCTGAAAAATTTCTGAATTCTTAAAATGTTTAGTTTGCAGGGAACAGCTCGCAAACATAATTTAAAAAGTTCAGTAAAAATTCAAATTGTTTGTGTGCACGAATCTTACTATGATTGGCAATGCCCAAATCGAAAATTTGTCAACGAACCATACAACACGGAAGTACGTGAAGCTATTTTAGATATTAAATTGGTACTTAATCTAAAACTAAACCTATGTTCCACATTCCCAATGAAAGGAACCACAAAGAAGGGGCGCAATTGATTACTTATTTAAATGATTGGTTAAAATATAAAAATTCTATATTTCAAAGATTTTAACAGTGAACTTGAGCTCGACTTTTATTTTAGTGCCCCGAGGAGCCAAAGCCACCACAACAAGAGCATAAAAACATTGAAACAATGTTAATGATGACAAAAATTTACATATTTTAAAATGCATTTTTATAACGCGTTTATATATACACCCTAACACTGATTTTCTAGGCTGGCTAGTATGTTTTTATCAAAAGGGAGAAGCAAGCACATAACATTTTTGAGCTAACTTATAAAAAGTGCATTAATAAATGGTTATATGGATACAATATGCAAAAAAGTTGAATAACATAAGAGCAATTAATATTTATAAATGTGTATTCAAATGTGAACAGTATGTTGCATTCTTTTAGATAAAATTATGTGAATATGGTAATTACAAAACAATATTTATATTAGAGACGAATGTAACGCATTTAAATGGAAAATATTTTGTGTATGCCTAAACTTTCAAAATTTTGCAATACAAAATCACCCACAAAAGGATTATAAAAAACCGCCATTTTTTTTTTCAAAGATTACAATTTTTTAGAAGTTACAATAATTTTAATTTTGTTTTTCTGATATTAGTTAATAAAAAAAAACATTACCAAAAATTACTTTAAAACAAACTTCGAATTTGCTGCTAAGTTTTGAAAAACTTTTTTGAATTTTCTTTTCTTAAATCTATTTGTTAAAAACCTTAACACCTTCATTTTAAGGATTTGAGAAAAATAACAAAATAGTTAAAAAATGTCATTACCATGCTCAGTGGATCCGACTGCACTCTCAGCGCTGTAGGAACCATTTTTTTTTAGTAAACTACAGAATTTATTAAAAGAAACGAACCTAAATTGTAGCAATACTTTTTGATGATACTTTTTAATTATTGCATACATATTTTTATAATTATATATGTAGTGAGCTGAGCCGAAATAACCTTCGAGACATTTTGTAGCAAAAAGAAGAACTAATAGAAACTATTTTAATTTTTAGTATGGCAAATGTTAAATAATAATTTACACAACTAGGCGGATATACAATTTGCCACCCTGACCCACAAACCAAGCGAGCGAAATGTACCGAACAAGATAACTAACTACATATGAGTACTCAAACATACATAAAAACGAAACGGGAATAACTAAATATTGCTGTTTTAATTTTCAAAATATACCGATAGGAGCAAGAACAATTTTTAGGAATAATTAAATTGTTGGTAACTACGTTGATGATTGGTGTTTAAGAGAACCGGGAGTGTGAATGTCTGCGAAAGACTATGTTTTAAAAGCTTTAATCTGTTAAACGCATTGTACATACTATCATGATACATGGTCGGGCAGGGCTGTTTAAAAAAAACGTATTTTTTGATTTAGTTACTGCAATACCATTAAAATCTGCACCTTGCCGCCAACATGTCCATGAAATTAATAATATTTATACAGATATGACCATTATATAAGCAAAACCAGAAGTAAATAATTAATACGCAACACAATTTGAGATGTATGTAAATACCAGTACATTTATTTTTTAATTTATTGTCGAGATTGTTGCACCGTTTAGAAAATAATTAATAAACTAATTATTAAATATTTCAAATGTTCCAGCATGAAAACAAGGGAGAAATGCAATAATTAAAATGTAATTAAAAAACATAAAAGTTCCAAATTATAAATCGCCAGGATTTGATAACGACATATTTAAAGGTGGTAGTATAAAAAAGTTAGCAACTCAGTGAAGTAGTCACTTCGACCCCATAAAGTACATATACATCTTCTTGGTCAGTATCACCATCTAGAGTCGACATATGTATGTATACATGTCAGTCCGTCTGCCTGTTTCTACGCAACTAGTTTTTCAGCTTTTCCGCTACAATTTTACCGAAAGTCCGTAATATAATATTTTGCAGGTTGTATGTCGGAATGGACTGGATCGAATATAGCTCCCAAGGGAAAAATCGAAAGAAAATATTAATGCATTTGGGCTTTCGTTTTTGTAATAAACCGAAGTTGTTTGTAGAGGTTTATTTTATCTGAATATTTGTTGAATGCCACGGAACGCTTTTGTGGCGAAGATGCCTTCAGTGGACGACGTGGCAGATGGTCGAAACTTATAATTAAGTACCAAACAAAAAACCGCAGAGAGGAAAAGACTTTCTTTTGTATTTGCATGTCTTACTCTGAACTCTTACTCTTACTCAGCAGATGATATGGGCCCTTAAAAGAAGGACTAGCATTTCCAGTGTTTTGTCTTGGCTATTTGCTCGCCAACCTGTAAGGACCAACGAATCTGTCACTGAACCCGAACATCAGTCTTTCATTTCCGGGGCGGCTTAAAAGTCGTGTTTTCTCCGTCTCCCTTCTTAAACGGTGTTTTAAAGTTCTTGCACTTGAGAAAAGTTTGTTATTTTTAATTTCTTAGACTTTTTATGTTTAAACTAAAGTCTATTTTGTAGGAACTTACATCTTTTCTATTTTATTTTGCGTGTATTTACAAGGAAAGACAGACTGCGTAATAAAATTTTTTTTTGTAATATTTTGCTTTTTAGAAATTAAAAATAATGTAATCACATGCTAAGGGCTATAAATATCTCTTTTGAGAGTGTGGATGGACACTTTCTGATTGTGCTTGGTGGAAAATCAGCAAAAAGGGCACAAACAGCGGATGTTGTCCTCCTGACCCCAACCAACCCAAACAATTCAATCCATCTCCGTTCCGGATTCACCTTCTGTCTTCTGCAGCGACCTGACATTTCTCCCACTCTTGCTTTGTGTATTGTATGGTTTTCATTTCCGGCTTCCGTTCCTGTTGAGTTACTTAAGCGGATTACAAGGGCTGCAGCTACTTTAGGGTCGACTTCAGTGAAAGAAAGCCTAAGAAGTAAAGGAGTTGCAGCCGAGAAATTTCAGATACCAATTTGACCAATTAATTTCAATTTATAAAGTCTGCTCCTAAAAATCATACACAGGGCTTCATAAATCAATGTCCGCTCTGAATTTAATCACAATATCCTGTAAATATTCACTACGCGAAATTATAATAAAGATTCTAAGTTTCACAATTTAATAAAGCCAAAGAGTTTGCACAAAATATAATAAGTAGCTAAACTGTTGTTAGCAGTTTTCAGCACAATACCTAAGCAAAGGTTTCTGATTATTTTTGACGACCTCGGAAATATGAATAAAACTTCTTTCAAAAGGCAACTACCCCATATACAAAGACAGTAGAAGCAATGGGATTAGCAGTAACTTCGCCAAATATTTGCTGCTTTCGTGGGTGTATTTATCAAAATTGGGCTATACAATACCAATTTATACATTTGCGTGAACTTTCTGCACGCCGTTGTTAGTGTGTGTGTGGAGGTCGTTTCTCTCGAAATGCAAAAGTGTACTGGAGGCGCCAGTTTGCTTTCTTTTCTCGAATTGCATGGCTGGCGGACCGGAAACAAGCTGCGACGGCTCCACTGCCGCCCACTTTCAGCCTCTGCCACCAGCTTCCGCTCCCACGTGGGTAACGAACATGTGTACCTAGCATGAAACAAAGCAAATGTGAACCGAGCAGCTTCTGCATTGGACAGTTGTTACCGCTGGGCGTCTTTTTCCATTCTCAGTTCCACGTCCAGGTCCTGCGTTGGCGTAGTTTTTGTTTCTGTTTCTGGCTCTGGTTCCAGGTTTCCAACTTCCTTTGATTCTCGCCGGTCTATGAATGTGTGTAAATAGAAGGGAGCTCACACTGAGGACAACTTGTTATGTTTTTAAAATTAATACTTATCCTAACATGATTATTTAAATATGTCTTGTAGAATATCCATTGTTTGAGTTTGTTAAGAACTGGTATTGCACTTTATTGCAATTTGCTTTAATTTGGTTTAAGGCTATACCAATACGTAAATAAATAAATACAAAAACTGCAAAGATTAAATGAAAAATCGAAGCCACGCCTTCTGTTTTTTAAATAAGATTCAAGAAAATATATTCTAAATTTTTTGTCAGTGCTTGCGTGATTGAATGGACTTTGAGTGTAGTACAACACTACGAGCTCACGATGACCACCACACCATGTTGCCGTTTTACCATGCAAATGCTGGGGAAAACATTTTTCGGACACAAGTCCAGAGGCGAGGCATGAGATGGGCACTCGAACAGCTGCCGTCTGCCATCCGCCAGTTTAGCCGGCGGACATCGATGATGAGCGCTATGTTCATAACCTGACCCTCGTACTCCGGGGGAGTGTGCTTTCGGGTGGGATTTGGTTTTGCATGCTAATTCCCTGCAGGTGAACACGGGATGGAGACTGTGCCGTGTGCCCGGTAGCTCGGCGATCCGTTCTTCATTTCCCTAACATACACGTAAAAACAAATCCAATGGATTTAATTCAAATTGACTTTATTGCAAGGTTGCTTTTGAAGGCTATGTATTGTAGTGCAGTTTGTTTGTTAGCTGGGAAAAAGTCTTTTTTCGCCCTAAACAGGTCAACGCCACTACTGACCACATTACTTTTCATATTCAGAATATTTACAATCACTGATTTCCGAGCTCCACTGCATTTGGCCACAACAAAGCCGCGCCTACAGCCAACTTGTTTGGACACACGGCTAATTGGGGCAAAGTGCGTGTGCTCCGCGGAGCGGTTGTTCCGGTGGTGAAATGGTTCTGACGGGGTGCGGCAAGTGGTTGGTAGGAAGCAAATGTTCTTGATTATACTTCCGCTTGCCTAATAGAAAGTGCGCCACAAAAACCACAATATGCCGGCACCTTTTGGCATTAAAGTGGAGGATGAACATCCTATACTATATCTCGTCGACCTTTTACCGGGCTTTGCCTCTTTTCGTCTTGTTTTCAGGCAGTGCAACCACAAAACTTTTAGCGTTTGTTTTGCTTTCCCTCTGCTGCCTCCCCCACGTGTATTGGCTAAATTAATATTCTCAATTGAAAACTTTTCAACAATAGTTGCTGGAGGAAGTTTTTCAAAGCCAATTACACTGCTATACGAGGTTCTACAAGAAAATCATGAAATTTTAAAATCTTATTTCTTGTTTGCATAAACTGTTTTAATATGATCTGCATACCTACACCAATGCATATCGTCTTTAAAACGCGATAGAATATTATTGTTGAATGTAAATTATTTTTTATATTTTTAACGGTGCAGTGTGTTCCGAAATAATAAGTCGCTGGCTATCTAACAATTCAAATCTAAGGAAATTTCAAAATTCAATTCGCACTGTTGGGATGGGGAAGCGGGAGTACAACAAAAGCCCACCGCATCTTCATTTGGGTCCCTTGCCCTCACGAAGACCCATCCATTGAAACCACTCACAGTGACTGCCAAGTGAACAAACAATTTTGAGAACTTGCTTGAATAGATTATTAGGAATTATCAAAACTTAATTTAGCTTAAGGGAGCTGAGCACAAGGCGGGTCAACGGACAGATGCGGGTGGCTAATGAATCTCGAAGTTGAGGTGAAAGTGGAAAAGGGAGCCACAGTCAGGTGACAAACAAAAAGTGCTGCGCCACTTAAAAGACGCAAGAAAGACGACTTTTGAAGTGGTTGCTTAGCAAAACTTCTGACGTGAAAGCCCTGAAAGCCCATTGATCTTGTAGTACCTTTGTTGTGGAGTTTTGTTTCTCTCAGAGAAAAAGATTAGCACACACAACTTATAGCCAAAAAGAATAAATTTCAGTGGGCGTGAATCTTAAACACTATCCGCTGAACCCTCAACCTTAAATGATGTTTTATTAAAATAATAGAATATTCTAGTTCTCGTAGTAAAAGTAAAACTATTGTATATTGACACCCCTAACGATTTTAAAATAATATACTACACACAAGTTAAATGCGAAGGGTTTTTAAAAGAGTGAGACTTCTGGTTAAATTAGAACAGCCTGTGAAAACTTAAATCACATCTTACAAGTTTTTCCTTGCTAGCGTTTCTTTCTATTTTAAAACGCTTTTTTTGACTTCATCGTTACTGGTTCAATACCAACCCCCCTGATGAGCGGCAGTGTATCCGCACGGGAACTCGGGCATGGATCGATCTAATGAGGCTCCCAGTTGGCGGCCAGCCCTGAAGTATCCAGCTGGGTAATCGGCTTCAATTAAACCTGGATGAGCGACACTGACAATTTCAACGTTCCAGGTACTTTTCTGTCTCTTTGGACATAGAGTTCGTAGCGAAATGGAGTGAACTACCGTCTACCTGCAGCCATAGCGACCATTATTCCGGCCTTCTCGGCACCGGCCCCGGTCCCTTAACTCAATCTGGTGTTAATAACGTGACGCAAAACTTACTGCGGAAAAGGTAACAGCAGGAAGAATACTTGAGTTACCTTTACCTTGCCCTTGTCCTGGTTCAGACTCGATAATCGCCGGGGCCAACGGATGTCCAATTAGTTGTGTGCCAGCTTCCGGCTCTGGTTCTCTTCCAGCTCTGCGTTCCTTCCACCACCCGCTGGCTATCTTCGCCAGGTTTCCCTTCTGTCAATTGCAGAAGCTTCGGTTAAGATTGTGCTTGCCAGTCGAAGGCTCTGTTCATTGCTCATTGTTGTCCGTGGAGCGCCGATGGCATAATTTTCGAATTTGCTTGCCAGTCAATTGCCAGCAATTTGCATAGATTGATGGGCATATACAAGTCGTGATTGTGGGCTGTACGTCTTCTACCTTATCCGGCTCCCTAATCAATGCCGATTTGTGCATAAAAATCCTTTTTTTGGATTTGGGAGATGTGACGCGGTTATCGCGGCGAGGAATTGAATAAAGGATTTACGGACCTATATTAGGAAAAAACTTGAGCCTTGTCAAATTCTTTTTATGTGCCGAGCAATTTCAGCACATACAAAAATTTGCTAATATTTATTGGTGTTCATCATACCCTTGCAGTGGGTAATTTATTTTAATTTCCGGCTCAGCCCGGGTCGGACGCCACTATCAGAAATAAATATTTATATTTAACAAATTTAATTTAATTTAAAAGGAACTATACAGAACACACAATTGACATTGTCAGCATCGGACCCAGAATTAAACAAAATTTTTTATCGGATTATTAGAATATTTGTAGTTTTACCATCAAAGGTCGATGCTTTTCTTCTTATTAAATATAAAGTAAACTGACGGTCTCATAAGTTTAAAAAATTAAGTCTACACTTTGTTGCCAGTGCATACTTATATGTTGGGGATTGGATCTTTCCATCTGTGTGACAGGAAGCCAAACAACAGCAACATGTGTAACTTGTACGGCCTGCCAAGCGTCAAAGGCGAGAGGCTGGAAAAATCTATTAGAACGTGTCTCGCCTGCCAACCCGCTTCTTGTCTTTCGCTGCACCTTTGGCTCCCGCTTTCCGCTCCTCTACATTCCGTTTATATTTTACCCGGGGGCATAATAAGCCTTACTTTTCTTTCACCTTATTTTATTATTTTTTTTTCGCATGTGCGTGTGAGTGCGAGGCAGATATTTACTTATGGTGGAGCTGCGCGGAAAAGAGTAGCAACCCTCTAAACAATTTGGAAAAGATTGCGGTTGCTTCACTGAATTTCTCACCCATTCCGTGTTTTCCCCCTTTTTTTAAGCATTTACATTTACGAGATGAAAATTTAAATTGATTTAGTTCGGCTGTTAGCGCTTGTTTTTTTCTGACTGTTTTTCCGCACCTGCTTTTGCTCTTGATTAAAAATAAGTTTTAGATAAAACTATAATGGACTTAAATTTGTGACTCCTTAACGAGGCATTCAAAAAGCCAAGGATATTGTTTTTCTAAATGGTAATATTTTTTTCAGACTGATAAAGTATAAAGTTTTACAATAAGAATATGTTTTTATTTGATTTTTTTACTCTACTTGAATTTCATATATGCTGTGGATCGACCAACGTTTATCTGAGGATGTGAAGGGCTAAAGAGTTATATCGAGCTTTTTGGTTTAACTCCTTTTTTTTACTGTTATTTTAATGCAAATCGATTACCCGTTGATTTTCCGCTTGCCTTAGCCCTCAACCTTTTTCTGCAACCTTTGGTTTCTTCGAAGGGTTTTCGGCCTATCCATGTCAAAAGCGATTCGGCTGCGTGTGTGTACATTGGAGACGGTATTTTTGGGGCTATGGTTTGGTAATTGAATTTATTGTTTGACATTCAAAGTACCGTTGAGTCAATTACGCTGGAAAATTGGTATCAAAATATTTACGAGCTGTTTATTGCTTAAGGCAAACCAACCAACCAAAAAAAAGGGGGAAAGTTACGGAATTCACATGTTCAACTTTTGGCACATCGTAAAGAGTCTGGATAACTGGTTATGCACATATATTTTTAGGACACTTGTGGGCGTCAAATTTGTCAAGTAGTAAATTGCAGCATTAATTGCTTTCCAACAGTACTCTATTTCTCGAAACCTAAATTTTAAAAAATTTAAAATTGACTTTAGAAAACAATTATAATTTGGATCCTACCTTGAGCTTTCTCTCCATCATTGCTGAACAGCTTTCGGTTGAGCTCCGCAAACTCAATTGAGGCGCTTTCATAGCCCGGCTTATTTTCCTGGCAGAAATAGCCGTTCCGAAGTTGAGCCGGCATGTGCTTAACAATCAACTCGAGGTTCTGGGGATGATCAGCTAGCCGGGAGTAAACCCGCACAACATGCTTGAGAATCCTAGGCTCCGGTTCCAGCGTCAGTTGGTGAACAACTCTGGCCAAAGTGTGGATTAAATGCAGTCTACGGGCCAACCTACGGCTGGCAAACTTGAGGCCCACTTCGTGCTCTAAAATGCGGCATAGGACAAATGCACAGAGCACCTTACTCATACTGGAACCCAACTCCAGCTGCCTTAAGATGAGTGGGATTAGTTCAATTCCCAGAAAGTAGCTCACTATTTCCGGATGATCTGATTTCAGAAGACCGCAGACTACACCCAACACGGATAGGCGAACATGCTCGATGGCCCGAGTTTTTGGGGTCATTTTAAGCAAAGGCATTAAAAACCACATGAATTGAGAGCGCATCAGCTGAATGCCAATAGCGGGATGTGAAGCCATGGCCTGAAAGAGTCCGATGGCAGCGCAGACCCGCTGCGACTGCTGTCCGCTTAACTCGTTAGCCAGAGCAGCCGGATAGACAGACACAACCTCTTGCAGCAGACCACTCACAGCTCCAAAGGAATGCCACAGTAAGGGACCCAGGCTCTCGATTTGGCTTCGTCTTTCGCAGAGCTCCAACATGGCCATTAGACGCTTTTCCTTATCGCAGAGATCAGTGATCCAACCGTAGACATTGTCTGCCTCGCTGCGCTGCTCACATCCGGAGTTTGGTAAAGTCATTTTTGCACTAAAATAGTATAGTACCGGTTTTTTTCAATTAGTTGAAGAGGAATATAAAGTGACAGAGGGAGTCTGATTGGAAACTGTCGTCGACTGGCCTGCTGATTGTAATTTCCTCTTTAGGTTCTCATTGTTTAAAAAAGTGTGTTTGTTTAGTATTGGACTCTCCTTTTTTTGTTTACTTCGACTTTTAGATGTCTAAGCGAATATGCTTATCTTGTTTTGGCCTACGTTTCAAATATTGTGGATTATTACGATTCAGAGCTGATGAATTTAAGATTGCTTAATACGAAAGTTACGATGCCAGATTTTGATCCGATGATCAGATGTATTCATTCCTTTTGTCCTTTGCTTTTTCAAAGGTTTTATCTTGCATTTTTGAAGTTTAAAATCAAAGTATACTCTAGTTACATACCCCAACAATCAGATTTGGTTTTTATTTTATTTTGTATAGTAATTGTGCTTTTGGCAATTGCCAAATAAAAAAAAAAAGGGGTAATTTGTAGTCCAATCCGATAATCAAGCAAGAAGATTCATGAGCTGAGCTATTTCATAGACAGGACAAACTAGCTGAAGAAAAGCAGTTTAATACAGTTTACACTACTATGAAGGCTCTTAACTCAATTACGCATATTAAGGGGTTATATACCTTTTTCACCAGAGAAATACAGGGTTTTTATTTATTTTTTTTTAGCATGTTACCATTGTTTTATTTAAATTCAATAAAAATTTTATCAAAGTACGTGTCCTTAACTTAATTCGTATAAAATTTCGAGTGAAAATTTTGAGAATTGTGGAAGTTATAGTCCTTGCCGCAGAAGTCCTTTTTTAAGTAGTGGCTAACGGTGAGCATAAAAACAAGAAAACGGCTCAACGAAAAAAAAAAAACAAAAAAAATACGTTAGTATATAGTGTTACCTAGTTCGTGAACGAAGGATTTTACGAAAAAAAAATTTTTACAGTTACAGTGATTATTTTTTCAAAAAAACCGATTTTTCGAGGTCTAATAATTTAGTTTTTCGCCCCAAAAAAATAGAAAAATTTATCGAAAATAAAATTCCTTCGTTCACGAACTAGCTATTGTATCTACAAACAATCCCCCAAAATTTCAAATCGATCGATGTAGTGGTTACCGAGATATCGTGCTCACCGCAACGACCTTTTCTCAAAAATTCGATTCCGAGATAATCGCGTTTAAAGTTTTAGGTGGACATTAGGTAGTCATGCACACCGTGCGCTATGAACGGCTGTATCTTAGGTTCTAGTGCCCCGATCTCTACAAAATTTTGCAGAAAAATTGTCTAATAACCCCTTAATGAGCAAGGACAAGCGAACAAAGCAATGTGATTAAACGCAAATAATTTGCGATAATTTTTGTGTGGCAAGTATCGCGTATTGCAAAACGAAAATAAATTTCGGTCTTTTCCATGTTTAAGCTTCTTTGTTAATTCACAAATACTCCATGATTTCAAGAAAAACTTGCTGACCCGCCAGAGCACACAACTGTCTTTCTTATTTACAAAACAAACAAAAGTCAAATTATTATTATAGCTTTATTAAACACAGATCATTGCCTTTGGCCATCTGCGACAGTTCCCAAAAAATAATTGAGTACGCCAGCACAATGTATGCTAATTAAGTGAGTTACGAAAATGAAAAACAAATGAAAACGCAGGCAGCAGTTTTTTTTATCTATTGCCACTACCAGCGATCTTTTTGATATCCAATGAAAAAGTTTATTTTCTGGCTAATTAGGCCAGTCAGTTGCAGTCTAAATAACTGGTGACAGTGTACGTACGCTATATTTCGCATCGGGCCGGCAAATTTTACGCTTACCTAGACAAATTGCGGAGTCCGGTAGCTAATAAGTTTTCTACCCTGGACATATTGGCAACGAGTTCCTGATTCCCTAAACTATATTCAACTCCAAAAGTTTTTGTTTAATAGGGCACACCATAATAATATTATCTGCTGCGGTATATGCAAAAAAAAAAATCAAAAAAAACTACAAAAAAGTGTTAGATTTGTTGCTGACTAACATGTATGCACATAGCTTCCTATAAAACATTTCGATAAATACAATTGCAATAAACTAAGTCATAAAAAGAAATAAGCTATTATAAAACTACCAAGCAGCAAGTGGTCATAAATCAGCATAATAAACTCTTTTTTTTAAGTCCCACAAAACTGTTTGATTGGCAAACAAAAGTTTGCAACAAAAAGAAAAAACAGGAAAGAAACTGACAGTTTGTAACTACTCCACTTATTTCGATTGACAAAAGTCCTGAAGCAAATAATTTCGTGAATTTTTTCGTTTACTTTCTTTTTTTAATATTCTGCGTTTGAAAGTTTGACAAATTGCCTGTCTGGGTAGCAAAAATACCCATCTTTGTGTTATTTTTGAAATTTTTGAAGTCGAGATGTTTGAATGCTGGAAGAGAGTCGGCGAAATGGTTTGGAAAATCATGCATTATGCATGTGGTTTTCAATCAATATTGTGTTATCTCTTTACTAAGCTTTCTCTTTCGGACTTTTTAATAATGTGGCCTCCAGCTACTTTGGTCTGATAATGCGCACTCAAGCCTGGCAGCACATATGGGGTAGAGCATTGGGGCACCACCCTCGGTATCCTACCCTATTACTTGTGCTTCACTGACCCACAAGCCAAATCAAAGGCCTTGAGTCACTCTTTTTGTGCTGTGCAAAAGCTTAAAAATTAATAATTCAAAGGTTTATGGATCAAGGGCCAGATGGACCCGGCTCCCAGGAAAAATCGTTTTAAATTGTGCACTTGTGTTTTATAACTCTGATTGATTTTCTCAAACCTTTTACTTCAAGTTTAATTAGTTTCTTAAACTAAATTTAATTCAATTCTTGGAACGAAATTTATCACAAATTCTTTATTCATGAGTGTCGGTTATGTGAGGGTAAAATGTGTGTGTTTACTATGTACAATCATTAGAAGTTAATTTTGAGTTTCTCAGAAAACTAATAGAGAAATAAGTTTAAGCTCGAAAATATTTTCCGTAAATGTAGCAGAAGTTTTAATTTATTTATGCAACCGAGGCACATCAATCTTCTGCAAGCTTGTGAGAAGTCTATATGATGGTGTATGTCTGCGTGATCCGCCGCCAGTCATTGGGTTTTATATAAATGTGTGTGGGATCCGTGGGATGCTGTAACATACGCTGCCATGGTTTGTTGAGTTTGAGTTTAATGACGTGTAAAAATGTTTTCACGGCTTTTGATTATATTTTACCTTAAGCGCCGCTAAGTTTGGGCCCCTTTCCAAGCATGCACGATATCCTTTCCGTTTGCCATTTGCAATGAATAATGTGGGCGTCGTGTCTCTCTGTTTAGCATATGAATACCTTTTGGCATCATCTCTGATTAGCACCGGCGACTGACAATGGGCTCTACTGTTGTTGTTGTTGTTGTTGTTGTCGTTGGGTGGCAGCGGAAACGTTTTAATGACAATCTCTACTTCGCGCATTTATAAGCCTCCGCCCGACTGTCAGTTATCGTTTTCAAAATATTAGAATTCGGAGAGCAGAAATTGTTTTCGGTGGGTCATGCAAGGTTGAGCGTACACTGTTATTGTTTTTAACTTAATAAAAGTTAACATTTATTGCTGCACATGGCAGGCATAACTATGACGTTACAATAAAGTTTTTCAAGCCTGACTAAAGGAAAACCAAATCGTCTTTTTTGCACAATGTGGGCCTTGCAAACGTTTTTATAACTTGGCCCATTAAGTGCCGACTTCGAATAATTTTGGAGAGCTTTTTGGTTTTTGGGAAATGGGCTTTTCACATTAAAAATGGTTTCTTTGTTCATTAATTGAGACCAACCAAACGTTTTGGATAAATAACTTCTATTTTATTGTAATTTCACTTAGAAGTTTGTAACGTAGTAACGAAGACATCTCAGACCCATACAGTATATAACTTTTTGGCAGACGGTGATTTCTTATGTCTTTTGAATTTCGAATTTAGTTTCAAGAAAATCTGACTACTATTTCTTATAGCTGCCATTGGAGAGACCGAAAATTGTGTACAAAAGTAATGAAACAGATTTATTAAATAAATTTTCAGTAGCATCCCTTAAACGCAAAACTTTGTGTCCGTTTGTCCGTAAACTAATAACAATACATTCAAAACGATATCGCTGCTTATGGTTCCCCTGTTCTAACTGATTTTTTAAGTTCTTGATGGCTTACCTAAGGTAAGTTAATATGAAAGGTCGATTTTTTGGCCCCTGTTGTTGTCTGATTTTTGAAGTTACCGATAGTTTGCCAAAACTAGAGAAATCTGCACCTGGGTAAGCTTGTGCCGCGCATTGCGTTCTCCTATTTTTCTACGTCTATATAAATGCAAAAATAAACTTCTTAAAGGAAAGAAACAAACAATTGAACAAAGTCGTTAAAATACTTAGGAAATGGTAATTCCGTTGAGTTTTCACTTGTTGAATTATCGTGCCACTTGCATGACTGCGGGCTTCAGTATTTTTGTACCTTATTCTCGGTTAAGTGCAGTTCTGAGCTGGCGGGCACAGCTGACATTCCTTACCAAACTTAAGAAACTGTAATCAGTTAAAAGTTACTTTTTCTTTTTGTAATTTAACTTACTGGACTAGATCCGTATTTTTCCCTTGTCTGTCGTCTTGAATCGGTTTTTACTGCTAGTTAACTTAAGTTCTTTTTTTAGGTTTTTATAACGACTTTGCGAAAAAAATGTGTGTTTTTTTTATCCCTGGAGCTTTTTCTGTTTTTTTTTACTGTAACTTTACTTGGGGCAGGTTTCGCACCGAGCAATAATGCCAGCTAGGCGTATTTGTTCATTAATTTTTATGATAGAAGTATGTGCAAATCCATTTGCCAGCTTTGGTAATAATCAACAAGCTATTCAGCAGAAGAAAGCAGCTTAAAATTTTCAATTTCCACTTTCCATGCACGACACACAGACACACACATGGTGCTCATGCCGCTCCAACTGTGACTAGCAACAACTTATTGTGGTTACAAATTGTGGCAAAAGCCATCAATGATATTATCAACAGACAGAGCGTCCTAAGCGAACCGAACCGAACAGAACGTACATATGCAAGCCCAATTACATCCGGTTGCAGTTTCAATTTCAATTTGCATGGCCGGGAACAATGACCAAAGGGTGGCCTGCACTAAGCCCAGAGGACAAAGCCAAAATGCCTGAGGCAACCACTGCTGCAGCTTGGCATAATATTAATTTAAATTAGACAAAATTCCAGGCACCCTGCGCTGCTTTCAAATGACTGGCTTTCAAATGTGGTGAGGAAAGAGAGCTGCAGAGGTGGTGTTTCGCACAAAAATGCCAAGCTTTGAGTTGATTCAGGTATTAGTTTTCCCCCTAATAACATTGAATGAGCTTTGATTGAGGAAATCAAATTTTAAAAAGAAAAGACAGGATTGAGGGCCTAACAAGTTTTGAATAAAGTAATTAAAGTTATACTAAATTAGTATATAGTGGTGTAAGTTGGAACGGTCGGGATCAAGGTACTAACCATGTGCCTTCCAAACATATATTTTATGATTTTAAATTTAACCGTGCTATGCATCACAACAACTATATGTATATGTTTGTTTGACTTTCCTGACCTAATTTTTAAATCCAAACTATACTAAGCTTATTCCGATCACTTTTCGGTATTGGT